GACGCGTGTCACGTCGAACGGCGGCCATTTTGTTTTCCTGTGCGCGGGTGTGCGTGCGCACGATGAAAAAAAAAAAAAAAAAAAAAAGAAGACAAAAAGAAAAAAAGAAAAAAGAAAAATAAAATATCCGCAGGGGACAATGGCGGCTATCTTAACCGGGAGGGAAAGCAACCCTTCTCCCCATTCTGCCGACTAAACTTCATGTTCGACGTTTGACTGTCAGCCATTCTTCCGTGTTTACAGTTATAGCTGGCCCATTCTTTTCACGGATCGTATCCGCCAACGTTCCCACAAATGCCTCTCGCACTCTCGATGATTTATTCGACAGGCCGAACGTGTGGCGCGAGTCCCCTCGAAGAGTGAAGAAGAGGGATTTCTAAAGAGTTTCAAAGATTCTTCGAAGAATCGGTAGCAATGCTTCTCCACCGTTACGTTTTTTTCTTACTTTTTCTTTAACTTTCGCGATTATCTTAGGAGAAAAAAGAAAGAAAATGAAATTAAGTGATTTATGATATAAAGTTTATTAATATTTGAGTAATAAAGGAAAACTGACGACAAAGAAATATTAAAAGATATTCTTTCTAGATTCTCACAGTGTCACGATCTGTAACATGACTCGTTACTCTCTGTTCGAACCAGAGCTAACTGGCGTTCCGCTGGCCCTTGCCCCTACTTTTCTGATAGCTGGCGTTACCCCCTCTACTTGCTTAGACTGAAAGAATGAGTGGTAGCGCTATGCAGTGGAGGGGGTAACGGTAGCGATCAGAAAAGTAGAGGAAAGGGCCGCCAGTTAGCCACCTCTGCTCAAAACCTTCGTCTTCGCACACGCAACCATACTCTTATATTTTACTCTTAACCACTTGCTCTGGCAACTGATTGCGGACCATAACGAGCGACCAAATCGTATATACAATAATTCTTTCTTTTCGAACTCGTCGGTATGATATCACTGGATAGAAATTATTGAGAAATAATTTAACAAACTTATTATTTGTTTTGCCTGGGTTACACTTAATTATACATCCTTAGAACTGAGAAGCCATTCCAGCGCAAGAAGTTAGAACTTGGGCGATTGAAGCAAACAGTTCCAAGCCTGGCCTTTTTCGCCGTGGCGATAGTATCTCGTTTCTACAAGAAGAATTTCCCAATAATGAGGCTTCCTCGTCCCACGTTACATCGATCGATTGTTTCACAATTATTTCAATCGATCGGCGAGATTGTCGATCGCGTCTTTTGATTTTAACCGCGAATCGTTCGCTTTTCCGCGCGGCGATTGATTTATTTTGCTATCGTGTCGCTTCACCGCAACACCGGGAGAGGCCAGTGGCTCGAATGCTCGGCGTTTCAACATCGGGGCAAGTGCGTCGTATTTCAACCGCAGCAATTTAGCCACAATTTACAACCATTGACGCAAAAGTCATGGAGGTGGAAAAGTTTAGGGCATATAGACACGCGTAAAAGTATCGATGCGCGAAGTGCATCGGAACGTAGAGCGGTGTACGAGCTCTTCAGAGAGGTAGGAAGGAAGGAAAGAAAGAGGGGAAAAGAAGGAAGGAAGGAAAGTAAGGAGACAGTGTAAAGTAGAAAGTTTACGTGTTGTCTAGTGCCGCAGCACTTGAGTCCCGTATGGTGATACAACGACGAAATGGCATCTGGCCGCGCGAAAAAAAATTACCTATAAGGAGAAACATTTCCGTAAAAATGCCTCTCGTATGTTTTCTGAAATTGCCCGAAATATTTGATCGTATTTTCTAAATTGCTTTTGGTTAACGACACGCTCGCGAGATGATACGAGACGCGTTATAATAATGATACGCATATTAATTGTAATATAATTGTAATAACGTGTAATAATATATTATATATATAACATATTATTCTTTATTCTATAATAACATATATTATGATATATAATATATATAATAATCATAATATAAATAATATAGAAAACATAAGATAATATAAAGGATCCACATTTAGTATGATATTGTATTACAGCCAGTATCGTAACATTTCTATAGAATAAGTTCCCGGAGTGGAAGTCTTGTATTGTTCGAATAAAATTGCACGGTCGAATTTGTTAGTTGCGTGTTTACAGCATAACAGAACAATTTTTTGCTGTGAAGTGAAGTGAATTATCTTGCATTAAACTTCTCGCGAGGATTCTCACGGCCAAGAGGCAAGGATCCTCAAGAGAAAATACAAGATATTATATTATCTCTAGTTACATTGCTAACATATGGTTATTTCTATTGTTATATCACTCAGTGCAACATATCATTCATTCTTGGCGTTAAACACGTACAAAGTGATGTATCAGTTGCGTAGTAAATTCGCGCGACGAGTTCGCGATAAATAAATCGTCTCGAAACGGTGAATGACGGTGTGAATTCGTTCTTGTGTTTCAGAAATCGGCAAGTGCGGCTGCCACGTCCAATATCTGTAATCCGTAAGTTTGCCACAACATACTACCAAGAATATATATAACTGACGGCTGTACGCGGCCGGCCGTTGTCAGATTTCGAGCAAAAGACAGATTATAAATCGCGAAGGCCTTCGGTCCCTCGGTGCTGATGCACGCTTTTACGATCGGCTCATTGCCACAAAGTGCGTCATAAAGAACCTAATAAAGTTCAGCCGTGTTATTGGATGCTCTAACTTTATGAATTTGTGCCAAGCTAGTAGCTTGCCTCGAGCTTGTGCCGTTTCATTTCTAACAGTTCTGTTCTTCCTTTTGTCAACGCTGTGCTTGGAACTTGCTTCGACACAGAGTGTTGTTTCGCAATACTTTTCACCGAATCGTCGCTCAACTGAAAATATAGATTTATAGCGTAGGTTGTTTCGCTTTGGTTTCCGCGTGTTTTAATTTCCCTTTCTCGCAAGGAGGAGAAACGTTTCGACGAAAAGAGAGACAGAGAGGGGTTGATAATTAATTCTGCGGGAACACAGATCGACGATACGAGTCGAGGAATCTCTCAGTCGGTGAACGAGTAGTCGACTTTTGTCAAGGCTCGGTAAACAAATTGCTGAAAACGGTCGGAAATGTATTCCTCAAGCAAAAATATCGGATTGAAATATCGCTGAAAATATGAGCTGAAAATGCTGTCGGGATAAACGAATTTTTAGGGGGGACGGGGGAAGGAGAGTCACGCGCTAAAAAGAACAAAAAAAAAAAAAAAAAAAAAAAAAAAGAGAAAGAAAGAAACAAGCGAGAATACAAATACAGCCAAAAAATAGTACCGAGCTAGTAGGGATTACCGAGCTTTCGGAAATATTTGTACAACCCAATCTGCAGGACAGACGGACTTTCGGTAAGAATTTTCCGCCGGTGTATTTTTTAAAAGCAAACACGCAACAACGTTGGTCGTTAACCGAAAAATCTGGACGAAAGTCGGACGTTTGAAACAATTACGCGGCGGAGGCGAAATTTTTGCCGCGCGTTTTCCTTTGCTCGCGCTGCCGGTGTGAAACTTTTCGCATTAATAATCGCCACGGGGATCGTTGTCCGGCCGCGGAATGAACGTGTGTGCGAGGAGGGACGGAGAGGGAGGGGGAAAGAAGGGGGGGGCGGACAGGGTGAGAATTTTTGTACAAGCCGAAGCCCGTGTAAAAAGGGACGTTCGACTAGGTGACCTCCATCCGCTTTTTGCCGCGTATGTTTGCCTCCGTTCGACCGGCCGCAAAAAGATCGTTAGCGAGGGATCTAGAAATGGTATACCGATGCGGCTTATCGATTCTAATTTACCGGAAAGTCATTATCGCGCTAAAAAGTTGCCCCGTCCCGTTCCCCATAATGTTTGCCCCCCTCCTGGAATTCCTGCCGGACCCAACTTTCAGCTATCTGCTTCCGGTGTGTGTGTGTGTGTGTGTGTATGCACACCGAATTTCCAACTGGGAAATTTGCTCCGCGATCCTTGAATCCTACACCTACGTGATTAGGTGTTTCCTTTGGGCAGAGTTGTGATCGTGATTCGCTGAGAATTCGAACTTGCACGGTTTCGATGTTGGAGCTCGCGCTCGAATTTTGTCAAGTTTGGCGGGCGGGGGAGGGGGGGGGGGAGTCAGTCAGGGGTTATTAAATTCGCCGCAATCGAAGCCCATCGTTAGCCTAATCTTCGCTCTAATCGGCGAAACAATTTCGACTTTATCTCTCGCGCGATTGGGACACGGCTGGGCGCACGTATCGCCGATTAATTCGCGTCACAACGATCGCGCAACAACGATAAACATTAACGAACCAGCGCGCGCGCGTGTCCCCTCCCACATCCCCGTCCTGCTCGTGTAACTACGTTGCCGCGTGATTCGCGATTCGATCGACGGAGAATTCGATCTCCCGAACGCGATGCGAGTCCAACGATCGTGATCTGAGGTTGGCCCCGCGGAAAACCCGTGATTATTCTAATGCGTCGAATCAGCCGGAATGGAGTGGCTCTCCGATTGCATCGACTCGTTACTCGTTCATCAGGCAAATTGTATTCTCAATTTTCACGAAGCCACCCTCTCCTTTTTCGTTGTCCACGAGCACCAGCGTTTCGAAAAGTGAAAAGTCAGCTGGGAACTCGTGTAACGATTTAAATGTGCAGAAGGCTGAAAAGAAGACGAAAGAGAGAGAGAGAGAGAGAGAGAGAGATGCTTTTTATCGAGACAGAGCAGGTCGAACGATGAAACGATTATAGGGTGGAAGCGTCGAGTGGACCATTAAATCGTAGCCCGAGCAATTACGTCCGATCTACTCGCGTCTGATGATGTTGACTCAAGCCACGCTCTCAGCGAGATCGTCAAAGATGCTGTTTATTATTCGCGACGGTCGATTAGTCGAGGAACGAGGGCGCGCGACGCAGCCGACACGGAGAGAGCCGTTTATCGAGAGCCGTTTCTCGAGCGCTTTTTGAGAAATCGAACGTGGGAGCGGGGTAGGAACTTTGGTAGATTGAACGCCGAAAGAGAGGCGAACGCCATCATCAGCAGAGAGACAGGGCGATCGCGACACGTCCCTGTCCGTCCTGTTTGGAAATCTAAACTCGAGTAACACGAGTCTAAGGACAAATTTCTACGGTGTACGATCAATTTTTTTTTTGTTCTTCTTCTCTCCTTCGACGTTTTCGTTGGAGTTTCGTCTGATTCCGGCCACTTGTTAATCCATCGAACGTACGCACTGTACGCACTGGATGGAGATTTAATTAAAACCCGGAACGGAGAGCTTTAATTGAAAAATTCGTACTATTTACTGTGTTTGTTATTAACGTCTTTGAAGAAAGAAAGAAAGAAAGAGAGAGAGGGGGGCGGGAGGGATAGCTTAATTAATCAGAAGGTTCTAGTCGGAGTTCATAAAAAACTCGGGGAACAATCCGAAAAAGGCAAAGCATAAATATTTAACGAAAGGGAGGGGAGTGAGACGCGCAGTCTCGTCTCGGACTGCCTTTCTCCACTTCCTCGCTGGGCTCTTTGGCTCTTTAATCAACGAGTGCCGTGGAAACTTCCCGTGATTCCGCCTGCTCTCGTCGGCATTCTTCGTCCTTTCGTGCAAACGCATATAGGTATTGAAAAAGAAATGTTCTCCTTCCCCATGGGCTGCCAAGGGATCCAAGAAATACACACGAAATGAGAAATTACCTGGATTGGGCCGTGAGCAGTTTCGAAAACGAAGTTTCATGCGCTAACGACTGGGGGGCGCGTTAACGAACGAAGAATATGAAGAAACACGTGCACTCGGTCGTAGAATCGAGGCGAGAAGAAGTTTGCCCGGTTGGAAGGAAAACTCTGCTCTCTCTCTCTCTCTCTCTTTCTCGAACCGGAACTCTCCGGAGTCGGAGAGAGTCTCGTTAAAAAGTGCTCAGAAGTGTATCAGTTATCGAAAACGCCTCGACCAGGTTGAATGGGTCGGTGACACCCGAGAAATCACTTTCATGGACGAGGATCCTTAAGGTCGTGTCTAGAGAAAGAGAGAAAAAGAGAGAGAGAAGTGGAGAAAGAGGGTCGGCCATCCTGCGGCAACTCGTTCCCTTCGAAATTCTCCGGCGAAATATCGACGCGATTCCGATAACTTATGACGGCTGCTGCTTCCAGTCCCACCACTTCTATGGTGATTGCCTTTTGTTACGGGTGAATAGCGTCCGTTGGTGCTCGAGTCTTGGCCTGTACCGTTCCATCGTTTCCACGAGGTGGAGGCACGGCCACGGTGGCTCCACGCGGCACTCGTCCCCCTGGTCCCGGAGAAAATCGAGCTCCTTTCTGCCCTCCGTCCTCCCCTCTTTCTCAGGGACAGCTTCTTTTCCACTGAAACTGACCGCAGGAAACTGAGTAGGCACCCGGACGATCGTGCCCACCGTCGTCGTCGTCGAAGAAAAGCGAGTGGAAAGATCGTTCCGAGGATTAAGTTTTAGACTCTGCTACCAAACGGATTCTAGGTTCGCAATTACACCAACAACTCTGTCATTATTATTTATTTATTTATTATTATTATATAGGTCGTGTTAACATTGTGATCACGAGCAATTACGGAATTATATTTATACGAAATTTCGCATTATAAATATTCAAGTGGACCAGTTACGTAGAGAAGAGCTACGTTTTTGATATTCTCAGGATCATTTAGGTTTTTCCTTGAATCTTGTTGTCGATGTCCAAGCTATTTCTTATGGTGGAGTGTTTTGGATAGATCAACAATGATAATGATCAATAATAATAGTTCGATTCAATAGTAATTGAGGATTTGAATTAGAATGGCCAAAACGAGTATAGCGCTAGAGAGAGAGAGAGAGAGAAAAAAATCTCGAGTTTTTCGCGAATATTAGATATCACGAGGTTTCGTTTGACTTCTGGTTAACCACTTGCGCTGGCAACTGATTGCGGACCGTAACGAGCGACCAAACCGTGTATACAGTAATTCGTCGCTTTCTTTTTCTTTTAAACTCGTCGGTATATCACTGGATAGAAATTATTGAGAAGTAAGAAATTTATTAGTTGTTTTGCTTATTTTGTTTTTACTTAAATATACTAAACTGAGAAAGTATTACGATTTTGGGACAAAAAATTCTCGACGTGCGTGGCAAGAGGTTAACTTAACCACGTGATGTTCCAAAAAGGCGAACGAAGGCTTTCTTCTGAAGCAACTCGATCTCTGCCCGTTTCTTCAAGGATCGAACGGAAAGTTTTTTGCACTTGCATCGCTGTGTCACCAGATTGTCGACACATTCGCAAATTTTTTTCGACCGCTTGCTCGCTTCGACGTTTGATCCCCTGCGAGCGAGAATTGTATTTATCCTCTATGAAACGCTATTATCACAAACGGAGACCAAATAAAATCAGCGGTATCAATTTAATCGTCGATCGAATTGCAGCGAGAACGATACTCCTGAAGAGGAACGCTGTACAGCCGGCGTTTCGAACAAATCGTTTCACCTTCGATCACTGTGCCCCTTTTATTACCGTTTTTACAGGGAATATTTTG